CTCTCTCTCTTTCTCTCTCTCTCTCTCTCGCTTTCGCTCTCTCTCTCGCTTTCTCTCTCTCTCTCTCTCTCTCTCGCTCTCTCTTTCTCTCTCTCTTTCTCGCTCTCTCTCTCTCTCTCTTGTGCACGTGCTCTTTCTCCCTTTCTCCCTTTCTCGCCCCTCACCCTCTCTCTCGCTCTCACTCTTTAGCGTTCACTCTTTCACTTTCTCTTGCACTCTTTCGCAGATACGCGCGTGGCAGGAACAAGGGCTCGCCGCGACTGCCTCTCTGTCGCTCTCCCTCCATCCATGCGCCCTCTACCTCTACTCGTAAACTTCCGCGGTGAAGCCGTATCGATCGGACGGAAAACCATGCAGCTGCAAGCTGGCTTCAGTGCGTAGAAATCACAGAAAAACTCCAGCTGTGTCGGTGCGCGTGTGTCTTTCTCTCAGTGTGTGTGTGTGTGTGTGTGTGTGTGTGTGTGTGTGCGTGCGTGCGTGCGTGCGTGCGTGCGTGCGTGCGTGTGTGATGTATGTCCGGAACTGCCACTGTCAGAATAAGTTGAGAATGTCACACTAAAACGGAACCACGGATTATTTTCTATACACATGGAATAATAGGCTACATTGAATTGCAAAGCACACGAAAAACATTTTAAGTTGCACGAACGCGACGACAACCATCTTTGAAACAATTACAGGCCACATTGCCCCGAATCGGCATTTTAAATGACACGCGTAGAGGCGAACGAGAAAAAACATTAAGAACGAAGATACGTAACATTGGCTTTTTACAACACCATCGATTGCACAACGAGCTTCCCAAGCATCGAAAAGCAGCACTGAAGGACTAGATTTCCTGTTTAGTTTTTGTCTTTGCGAATGGTTTCCGAATCACGTTTTTGCAATTGACCACTATTCTAGCCATTCCAACTTCCAATCTAGCAACTTCCCAGTATCGCAAACGTATTTGTTATCGGAAACATGCAGTCGGAAGCAGTCTTACAAGCTCTGCAATTTCATATCCTGCCGACGCGCGCGCAGTACAGAAAAATGTCAACTGCAATGTAAGGTTACACGTCGTAAATGAACAAGCGTTCTGCATGACTACAGTCGAAAAGCATTATTCGGAGCGTATATCGATGACAATTCACGTGCTCGCATCTACCATGAATCGTAGCCCGTCGTGCCTTCCTCGGGTTCCGTTGAGCCTGGCTGGTATTGGCAGAGTTTGTACCAGCCTACGGTGTGATTACTCAGGTTGAGTTTTTCCAAGTCGACGATGACTTCGCCAACGCACTGGTTTGATTCCGGTATCGGTCGCCTTTCCCATACCATCACCTAAGCGCCACGTGAAACATAGAAAGCAAGTGGTATCATGACATTTCATGCAGAACACGCGTCAATTCTTCTAGCGGGTGGTGTTTAGCAAAAGACTACGAGAAGCGCTCTATTCACGATTGACCCTGCAAAGATGAATTAAGAACCAGAATATCTACAATGACTGCATATACACGGCAGTGCTATACATTTCGAGAGAAAATGCAAAGGGAAGCTGACCCACTAGAAAAATATACCGAATAGATGAACATGGAACAATATAAATCTGATAAATAAATAAATAATAGAACAAGAATATCTCTTCAGACTAATCGCATTCAGCATGTGCTTTTTTGAAAAGCGTCAAAAATATACTTGCTCGTCAGATAGGCCTACTCGTTTAGCTCGCAAAATTCTTCTCGAGCATAAGTTATCGAACTAACACACACACACACACACACACACACACACACACACACACACACACACACACAC